GATACACAAGTATGATTCATGAATATTATTTAGACTCGCCTCCAGTTCCACCGTCCCCTTATCCCAATTTTCATAGAATTTGACAGCCTCCTCAAAATGACTAGGTAAGAATTGTGCTGCGGCAGCCCTAGTCATACCCATGCCCAAATACACTTGTCATCCTTCGATCTCATCTCATGTCAAGCTTAGTAATGTAACTGGGCTCACAATGCTCCAGCTGTGGGCACAGTCTAGACAAGGTACTGCGAACTGTGTGCACAGTACACTGTGTAACTGTAGGCACAGTCTCACTGCCACTTTGAATGGGTATATAAGGCCTGTAGAAACATGTCTAGTACGAACAAGATTTATTTTAGAATTATTCCTGTGTCAGATCATTAGTATCTCTACCTAAGTTCACACTCAGCAGCCAGCTAGACTACTAGTACGCCAACTAGATAGTTTGAACTTACCTAGCGTTAGTTTGAACTTACCTAGCGATCAAAATCTTCATAGTGAGTACTTAAGATAGTCTTCTTACTAATAGCACTGTGTACACACGGATTTTCCCAAGTAATACACCTGTGTAAATTCATTATTAAATACTTGGATCAATATAACGCAATATGACCTCTATCAGAGCACGGAGGCCCACTTGGGGAAAGGAGAATTGCTCAGAGAATCATAACAGAATTAATCTAGCAAGTTCCTCAATGCATACAGGTCGCTCTTATGAGCCTCTTAGTGATCCTGAATGCACTAGGCGTTGCGATCAATATGCATCTCACCTAGATGAATTTATTCAGGATTTTAATGAGCCTCCTCACGCTTCTCCTTTCAGGATCAAGTTTGACAATACATTATATGAAGATGAGGACGAATATGAAGAGGAGTATGACTCTACAGCCATCAAGATGGAAGAAGCTGAAGAGCCTGACACTCTAACACGCCTCAGGTCCTTCTCAAGACCTTATGGTTAACCTGATGAGCTTGACCCTCAAGCAAAAAGAGTGTATCCCAGCTTATCTAAAGATACATTTTATTCAGAGACTAAGTTTGCCTAAGGCTCTACAATTTGTATCTGATAACAACTCACACATCCTAGTATCAACAAATCCTTGCTATATTAGATCACAACATGCGAGCACAATTGTGGCTTTGGTGATAATATTTCTACCCAAATGATGCACAGATGAGTCATTGTTGTAATCACATGCAGCTGCCATTTGTAAGCAGAGCCGCAGAGATTAGTCAGGCCTTTCTAACTAGTATTCTTGAGAATATTCTAGAACATTCCAAGATTAATAATCAACAGGTATATAAGGCCTCTGTTCTCCCTTGGGGGGAAATAGGGGGGCCGGGTTGGTACAGTGTGGATTATTTGCCTGGTTGAACCAGGACTATCATGCTGAGGCAGACTGCTGCAATTATTACCCTGACCACTACCACATAGACAGTCTAAAAATTGGATAACATTTAGTTATCATCTGGAGTTCAGATGAATTTGCATTCAAGGTTTGTGATTTGGAACACATTGTGAATTGGTTACAATTGGGTATGTGGGTCAGAAAATTTTGCAAAATCAATGACCATGACCTGTCCATTCTGCAGACCTAGGGCGATTTTATCTCGGGAATTGGTGGAGCAGAAGCCAGCCGAAACTCATCAGGGATCCGATATCTACGGTATGGACAACAAACAGACCACAGCTCCTGACTGGTGTAGTCGCAGCTACTGTGGAATGCTCATGGTTGGGCGTGACACTCGGACATGGAGATGAGAGTGACTGAAGGCGATTGTGGGAGACATTGAGTACTGGTCCATTGTCCACATGTAAATGTCCACCTTGGAAGAAATATAAATGCCTGGTGAAAGCATGATTGAGTAAGGAGTGTTCCAAACTGGTGGGGTGGTGATATCCCACAGGCGTACAGTGCGATCCCAAGATCCAGATGCAAGACGGTGCCCATCTGGCGAGAAGGCCAGACACTGGACCCCTGGTATGTCCCTCAAGCGTCCCAAGGCTTGCACCGGTGGTCCCATCCCACAGGCGTACAGTGCCATCCCAGATCCAGATGCAAGACGGCGCCCATCTGGCGAGAAGGCCAGACACTGGACCCAATCGGTATGTCCCTCAAGCGTCCCAAGGCTTGCACCGGTGGTCCCATCCCACAGGCGTACAGTGCCATCCCAGAGCCAGACGCAAGACGGCGCCCATCTGGCGAGAAGGCCAGACACTGAGACCCCTGGTATGTCCCTCAAGCGTCCCAAGGCTTGCACCGGTGGTCCCATCCCACAGGCGTACAGTGCCATCCCCAGAGCCAGATGCAAGACGGCGCCCATCTGGCGAGAAGGCCAGACATTGGACCGTCACCGGTATGTCCCTCAAGCGTCCCAAGGCTTGCACCGGTGGTCCCATCCCACAGGCGTACAGTGCGATCCTGAGATCCAGATGCAAGACGGCGCCCATCTGGCGAGAAGGCCAGACATTCGACCTCCCTGGTATGTCCCTCAAGCGTCCCAAGGCTTGCACCGGTGGTCCCATCCCACAGGCGTACAGTGCCATCCCGAGATCCAGACGCAAGACGGCGCCCATCTGGTGAGAAGGCCAGACATTCGACCTCCCTGGTATGTCCCTCAAGCGTCCCAAGGCCTGCAACGGTGGTCCCATCCCACAGGCATACAGTGCGATCCTGAGATCCAGATGCAAGACGGCGCCCATCTGGTGAGAAGGCCAGACACTCGACCTCCCCGGTATGTCCCTTAAACGTCCCAAGGCTTGCACCGGTGGTCCCATCCCACAGGCGTACAGTGCAATCCCGAGATCCAGATGCAAGACGGCGCCCATCTGGCGAGAAGGCCAGACATTGGACCCAATGGGTATGTCCCTCAAGCGTCCCAAGGCTTGCACCGGTGGTCCCATCCCACAGGCGTACAGTGCAATCCCGAGATCCAGACGCAAGACGGCGCCCATCTGGCGAGAAGGCCAGACATTGGACCCAAAAGGTATGTCCCTCAAGCGTCCCAAGGCTTGCACCGGTGGTCCCATTCCACAGGCGTACAGTGCCATCCTTAGATCCAGATGCAAGACGGCGCCCATCTGGTGAGAAGGCCAGACATTCGACCTCCCTGGTATGTCCCTCAAGCGTCCCAAGGCTTGCACCGGTGGTCCCATCCCACAGGCGTACAGTGCCATCCCGAGATCCAGACGCAAGACGACGCCCATCTGGCGAGAAGGCCAGACACTGGACCCAAAAGGTATGTCCCTCAAGCGTCCCAAGGCTTGCACCGGTGGTCCCATCCCACAGGCGTACAGTGCAATCCCGAGATCCAGATGCGAGACGGCGCCCATCTGGTGAGAAGGCCAGACATTGGACCCAATCGGTATGTCCCTCAAGCGTCCCAAGGCTTGCACCAATGGTCCCATCCCACAGGCGTACAGTGCAATCATCAGATCCAGACGCGAGATGGCGCCCATCTGGTGAGAAGGCCAGACATTCGACATCCCTGGTATGTCCGGTCAGAGTCTGGTGTGAGGGCCAATGCACTGATGGTCCTCCAATGATTTTTGGTAGTCGATCTGCAAACTTGCTCTTGTATATCGTCCACAGGTGTGACTTTCGAGGGAGGAATAGTAGCCCTGAAGTGTATATATCCAGCGCACTCTTCTCTAGTGTTTCTTGATGCCTCTGGACAAGTCTAACTGTATCATGGCATACCTATTGTCACTGCGGTCAATACACATATCATATGTAGCATTAGCTCACCTCGACCTCATCACCCAACCCTTGGCATTCACAACTTCGCCGAATCTCCTCGAAATTTCGAATAAGATGTACATGATCCATCAAGCTTAACAGCTCCACGAGGTACAAAATTTGATTTTCTAAAAACCTTTGCAGCAGTTGGAGCACATGTTTCTCCGTTACAACGGTAGACGCATGATAGCCCCAGTACTTTGCTGCATAAGGTAGTGCCGGACGACTTGCCCATAATCGTTTCAGGCGCTCATCCAGATCCACGACGTCGGTATTCTTTGGATAAGGCTCATTCGGCACGGAAATGCCGCAAACGTCCTCCTTGAGATCCTTCTGAAGCACTGTGAGCACAGATAAGGCCAAGTCTGATTGCATTGCTGTCGAGTCGAATGGCATATCCACGTTGTATGGACTGAGAAGGTATTCTCGAAACGTCGGATGTAGAAACTCTACCACACTCTCCACCCGAAATACACTTTGCATCGACCCTAAGATCAGTCTTAGCTCAGAGTCTGCAATCCCAGTCATCTCCTCCAGAGCCTCCGTTGACACCGGCTCGAACAAGGTTAGGATAGTGCCCATAACCTTGTGTATGGTACCACTGGACGGCTCTCGTCGCAGTCGACGAAGGATGCTTGTATAAACCTGGTTAATATCTCCACCCTTGCCTCGTGTCAAGAGGGATCTGAGAGTTGCACCAAGTGCGTCCGGACCATGAGCCCCTCGTAGCTCGAGATGTGCTGTCGTGATCCAAATAAAAAGTCCGTTCGAGCGTTCCACAATCTGCTGGCGCTGAGGCGCGGTAAGCAGTTTGACGAGATGCACGTCGACGTAGGACCTAATATCATCCAAGTTGGACTGCTGCTCTTTGCCGTGCATCTTGAAATGCATTCCGCGTACAATCGCTCTACCCTGGAGTATCGCCGTGATGTCTGGCTCTGGCCGGCTCGTTATAAAGAGTTTGAGTTGAGGCATCGATGCTTCTTAGTTTGATCAATTCTCCCCGCATCTCCTCCTTGCACTCATCCATTGCGTCGATCACGAGGACAATATCTGTCCCTGCAAGTTGCAATGGTTCTTCGATGAGTTTGGTGAACTGATGGCGTCCTCGCCGGGAAGATTGGGATCTCTTCTTTGATCATCTTTATTTGCTTCAGGATCATCTTGTTTTGACCACTGATATCATCTGCGATGACAGGACAAGAAATCATCCGTCTCCGATGTCTGACGAGCATTCTTCGAAAAGAAGAAGCGACCAACCACAATATCTGGGATACTATCCCATTCCTCGCACATGGTCAGCGCGACGGTGGACTTTCCAGAGCTTGGAACAGGTCGCAGAGCCAAAATATGCGCTTTCTGCATTGGGGTCCAGACGCCATTGCCGAATTTCCCGCAGAATCGCTACACGTGTACCTGGTAGACACGTTTTGTGCTGAGTGCCCATTGGACGAGGCTTTTCGGGCTCGAGTTGGGCTACTTTCCACACTGTCGAGAATCACTATGAGTCGGAGACTGATGTCAATCAAACTAACCTTCCGCTTGCAGCTGATTTTGACAGAAATTGGCCACATCCTATTGCAAATAGCTCAACACAAAACTGGCTTCACGGGGTACTCGTACCTTGCATATGCGTGTCGCTTGTAAGATTTCCTGTTTGTAGTCTGCAATATCTCTTGTGTCAATTTTGGTGCCCTTGATCTTTTCGATAGACCCTTTGACGCCTTGATCTCTACTGCGATTCAACCCATCCATTCTGGCGAGTATGTTTCTTAGAGTGCTACAGAATCTCAGCAAAACATTCAAAAGCTCGACCCATGACCGTACACAATGTAATGTTTCCATGCATCGTTGAACTCCTTGAGTGTGTCAGGCATTTGGTCCATATGTCCATCCTTGACAGTCTGGAGATATCCTTCATCCAAGATGGATATATATGATTCAAGACTCTCCCTGAGTACTTTGTACCCATTAGTCTTCTCGTTTATAGTCTACGGCGTAATCAGATTGAAACTTTGTAGTGACATTAAGCATGCCGTACCTTGGTTTTCTCAGAAAATAGATGGGAAATCTCAGAAACTGCTTTGAGGGGATCCTGTCTCATAGCATCTACCTGTGAGATCAGAAAACGTTTCGAGGGTTAAGCGGTTGCAAACCGAGCCACTTGTCGTCTACTGCACGTGAAGCTTTCTTGAAATGTTCCTTGAGATAGAAAAGAACCGTCTGGTAGTTGTCACTCTCTGGAGAAGCGAACCTGACTAGGGTTTGATGGTCACTGTGTAGTACCTGGCATACAGCGCCGCGGTCACCCAGGATGACTGCCTCGTGAGCTCGAACGTTCTATGACTTGTTTAGCCCAGCACGTTCTCCAGGGGTTTGATACTGACCAGCTTCCTTCGAGGATTTCCGACAAGAGTCTCGTATTCCGCGTAGAAGAATACGTTTTTTACTTTCTTGCTCACCTCGAGATACAGCTTCTGTATGTTTTCAAGTTCGGATGAGTACGGCTGAAGGACTTTGAGAATGACGTTTGTCGCATACATGGGTATTGATAGAAGGCGATCAGTTGTCCCGGGGAGAGGATCTTCTATGCCAAAATGGGGTGTTCCGAAGAACAGGATGGAGTAGGTAGATACAAGAATATCTCGGAGATTGCCATCTGAATTCGGGTCTTTATTGTTGGAGATTATGAGCGCCTACAAGAACGTCAGTGCTACATTGTATCGAGCCTTGTTCATACGAACCCATTTGAGGATAATACCTCCCACATCGTGGGCAACGAATATGATTGGGCGCTAATGATGGTTCATCAGACACCATCGAACTTGCAAGATTCACTCACTCGAGAAGCGCCTTTACGCGTCCGTGAAAGAGCATTGGCTAGGTTATTACCGTGCCGATGTATGGTTTCGGTTGATACACGTTCTCGACTGTGCGTATCGGCGTCATATCCGTAAGAGAGGACCCGAACACGAGGCAAGTCGTCTTGCAGGAAGTCGCGCAGCCACATTTTTCCATCTGCTGACGTCCACGTTTTTTCTCTGTGGCCGTTCAAGCCGTGGATGGCGACAATGCTGATGCGGCGACGTCAGCGGTTAAGTTGTAATGACGGGCGGACTGCGTACTCGACAACAGGATTCTCTTCTGAGAATAACTCGAGAAATCCAAGATCATCGATCTTTGATTTGCCCTGATCTGTAGAGGTCCACCATTTCCATAGGGATGCCATTGCAGGAGTTAATTCTTCGGTGGTCTGGAGAATGTTCCAGTGAGTGCCAGCGGTCATTGACGAGAACTATATAGTACTGCCGAACAGTTCGGCGCCTAGAGCTGACGAGAGTGGCAATCCGAGCCAGCGTCTCCATTACTTCCTTTTGCAGCAACGCTACGATAAGGATCGTCCAATTGGCTTTCTGGCCTGCAACAACAGGCGTGTGCAACACGCATCTTTTGCTGGTTAAGCCAATTGATCGAGACCTTCCTCACGGAGTTGCGACGACAATGCGACTGCGTCTCTGGTTCACCTGGAGAGTTGTCTCCGAATAGTCGAGCCTTCGCTTCGCTGTTCAACGTGGAATACTATGCGCATCCGACATCCACGCCGGGCGCCCAGCGGTATTCAAGACTCAGAATACTAATAGAGGACAGACGTCTCGTTTGAAGATGGTCACTGTGGACGAATTTCTGCATACTCCAAGCAATTAATTTCATCGAATTGCACTCCTTGGTCCGTCGTTGGTTCTGCTCGAACCAAGGAGACGCTGCTTTGGTATGGGCCGCCGCTTTTTCTCGCCTAAAGAGGTTAAAACTCGACAAAGGAGACGCTCAGAAATAGCAAATAAATGAGCCTGTTGAAGCATATATTTCACAATGGCATACATATTTGCTGGTTGATAATTCGGGGACCCCTTGATACGCACTACACTTCCGCCACTGGGCTGAATGCACACAGCCGTTCTCTTCCTTGGGTTCAGCCGTGTTAGAGTGAGCGAAAGAAGCAGTGTGATGCCACCAATTTATACGACGACTAATAACGACCGTGTCGCCACAGCCCCACGGAGATTTTGTTGAAAAGCGCAGAGCGGGTCTGTTCAAGTTGTTTACAGATCAGCCGAGCCTTTGCAGGCGGAGGTTGTTTACTGAAAACGTCACAAACTCATCTGTCATTATGATCGGATTCTCGACGAGCAAGAATAGATTTTGATGGATACATCTGGAAGCGAATCTGTCGACGGGGGTTCCACAGGAGAAAGACGTAGGTGGTCTATAGTCTTCTTTGGCGAGCCCATGGCTGGCATTACGCGCTCGTCAACGTGGGCGTCGAGTCCAAGCGGCACCTCGCAAACTTTGGGCTCGACCATGTCCACCGCGCTGACCTTGGATTGGATTTTGCAATCTTATCACGCCATCCACGATGCAATGACATCAATACAGAGCTCGAATATCCAAGGCGACTTTCCAGGTGACCGACTTGGACCCAGCGACGACTGCGTAGGATGTTTGAGCCTGGGAGCGGAGCAGCGAAGCTATACGGGGCTCGTGGAGCCGATGTTATGCATTTTTTTTAAATCCTGTTAGTCATGCGGATGCACAAAAATAATATCCAAAAACGACGGAAAGGCTGTCGACGCGCTATTCGACCATGTCCGAAATGTCCTTCTAACACTCCTTGAGGCAAAGTTCAAGGCATTCCCGCAAGCACTACTTGTAACCCACACCAAAGATCTTACCGTCATAACGGACGATAAACCAAACGCCAGTAGAACTGCAACACCTGGCCCCGCCCACGACCACGCTGCATCTTTTTTGCCACCGAGCATCACCACAACCACAAAGAATGCATCCCAGACGCGCTTCGACCACTCTTCCTTGACGTGACGCACAGCCTTTGGTTTTGAGGAGAGGGCGCACATGTCGAGTGCGTGTTGCGAGCGTTTGGACGGCTTCAGTTCGCTAACAATTCTTTTCTTCTTAATCTAGGCACGTTCGAATCGCGGTAGATTGCACGCATTGACGCAATTATCGACGCCCAATGTATAAAGCGCGAGCACACGCGCAAGCCGATGGAACAGCAACGATACTCGTACTATTTTCCGACCAATCCTGTGGCCCCTCACGGAATGAGGGGCTGCGGATAGGCGCCTTCGGTGTGATATGAACCATCGATGACAGTCTGCAGCCTCGAGAGCCAAGGGAGCAGCCAAAAGTCGGATAGCGTTCAAATTTTGGCCCGTCTGGTCATCGATCCAAAGTCATCCAGAGCGCATGAGGAAGCCACAGTGAGGTACGTACTTTGGAGAGCGTTCATGCGGACAAATAGAGCTAATACGGGGGTTTTCTTAACTCATCTAGTGGCAAAAACGACAACGATACAAAACCAGCGCAGATCTTTGAGCAAAAGCGGGAGACGTTTTCCTTGGAGGTGGCCTGGTCCCGCCTGACGCGAGGAGCATGATGCCATCATGCAAGGACACGCTCAAGGGACGCCAGTCTCTTATCAACAACACCCGTCTTGTCGATTCCTCCCAGCTCTATCATCACCCTCGTTTATCCCACATCCCGTTACCCAGCACCAACGCGTTTAGTACATGGTATGCCCAAAAGACCACACAGATGTTTCATCGTACTAACTGGCCTGTTAGGAATCATATCCAGGGTCATTGTGGTTGACTGCTCCCTCACCCGCCGGCCTTCAGAGGATCGTCAAGGTGCTCGCCAAACCACGCCTTTCCGGCAACACGAATTCAAGGAAACGGACTCTCTTTACTCAATTCAATCATACACGACGGCACCCGCCGCATCTACGCATCCCTACCGAATGTTGTCGTTTTGGACGGACGACGCGAGAGCTGCTAGCACCTAGAGCGCATGGAAGATCACATACAATAAAGAGTACGTCTCATTGTTGATTTTAGACGGGCTGCTGACCGTCTTTGTAGCGTACAGTGGTGACATCCAACAGACGCTTATTTAGGCCCCGTAGCTGCGTCAAAGCAATCTCGAACGGCTCTTCTCGATTGTCTCTGGAGGCAGCACACGCTGGCCGACGCAACACGATCCCGGACCGTCGAAACCGTAAGCACCCCTTTTTCGACGGTCGGCGTTATTGATTCGACCTGTAG